ACATCAGAAAGATAATACATCATGCTCATGTGAGATTTATCCCAGGGATGCAAGGATGGCTCAACATACACAAATCCTTAAATGTGATACATCACTCCAACAGAATAAAGGACAAAAACCATATGATCATCTCAACAGATGCGTAAAAAGCATATAATAAAATTCAACATCCCTGTGTAATAAAAACTCTCAACAAAGTAGGCATAGAAGGGACATACATCAACATGATAAAGTCTATATATGAAAAACTCACAGCTAACATCACACTGACTGGGGAAAAACTAAAATCCTTTCCTCTGAGAACTGGAACAAGACAAAGATGCCCACTTTCATCTCACCTATTCATAGTACTGGAAGTCCAAGCCAGAGCAGTCAGGTAAAACAAAGGAATAAAGGCATCTAAATTGGAAAAGAGAAAGTCAGATTGTTCTCTGTGCAGATTACATGATCTTGTATCTAGACAAACCTAGACCCCACTAAAAAACTCCTAGATCTGATAAATTCAGTAAAGTTGCAGGATATAAAAGCAACATACAAAAATCAGTAGCATTTCTATACACCAATTATGAAGTAGCTGAGAAAGAAATCAAGAAGTTGATTCCATTTACAATAGCTATAAAAGAAAAACATATATAGGAATTAATTTAACCAAGGAGGTGAAAGATCTCTACAAAGAAAACTATAAAACGTTGATGAAAGAAACTGAAGAATACACAAATAAATGGAAAGACATCCCATGCTCATGGATCAGAAGAATTAACATCATTAAAATAACCATACTGCCCAGATGAATCTAATGACTCAATGCAATCTCTATCAAAATACCAATGTCATTTTTCACAGAAATGGCAACAACAAAAAAATACCCTAGAATTCTTGTGGAACCCAAAAAGAACCCAAATAGCCAAAGCAATCCATAGCAAAAATGACAAAACTGGAGGCACCACACTACATGTCTTTGAAATATATGACAAATCTATAATAACCAAAACAGCATGGTATTGGTATTAAAAACAGACACATAGATCAATGGAACAAAATAGAGCACCTAGAAATATATCCACATATTTACAGCCAACTGATTTTCAATAAAGGTGCCAGGACACCCTCTTCAATAATTGGTGCTGGGAAAATTTTATATCCATATGCAGAAGATTGAAACTAGACTCCTATCTCTCACCATATAAAAAAATTAACTCAAGATGTATTAAAGACTTAAATGTAACACTTGAAACCATAAAACTACTAAAAGAAAACACAGGGTAAACACTTCAGGATATTAGTGTAGGTAAAGATTTTATGGCTAAGATCTCAAAAGCACAGGCAACAAAGCCAAAAATGCGACTATATCAAACTAAAAAACATCTGTACAGCAAAGGAAAAAGTCAACAGAGTGAAGAGACAGCCTGTTGAATGGGAGAAAATATTTGCAAACTCTTCACCTGATAAGAGATTAATATCTAAAATATACAAAGAACTCAGCTCAACAGTTAAAAAAAATCCCATTTAAAAAGTGGGCAAGGGACATGAATAAACATCTGTCAAAAGCAGACATACAAATGGTCAGCATGTCTATGAAAAAATGCTCAACATCACTAATCATCAAGGAAATGTTCATCAAAACCACAGTGAGATATCATTTTATCGCAGTTAGAATCACTGGAATTAAAAAGATTTAAAAGCTGCAATCATGTGGAGAACAGGGAACTCTAATACACTTGGTGATTATGTAAATTAGTACAGCCACAATGGAAAACAGTATGATTTTTCAAAAAACTAAAAATAAAACTACGCTATGAGCCATCAATCCCACTATTGGGTATTTCTCCATAGAAAGGAGTCAGTGCAGCAAAGGATACCCATATCCCATGCTTACTGAAGCACCATTCACAGTAGCCAAGATATGGAATAAAACTAAGTGTCCATCAGTGGACCAATGGGTAAAGAAAATTCAGTGTATATACACAATGGAATACTATTCAGCCACAAGAAAGAATGAAATACTGTCATTTGCAGCAACATGGAGGGAACTGGAGGGCATTAATATCCTCAGAAAAACAAATATCACAAGTTCTCACTCATAAGTAGTAGCTTAAAAGTCAATTTCATGGAGATAATAGTGGAATGAAAGATACTAGAGTCTGGGAGGGGTGTGTTGGTGGAGCAGGGTGGTGGGGATAAAGAGAGGTTAGTTGATGGGTATAAACATTCAGTGAGATAGATGGAGTAAGTTCCAATGCTCAGTCACACAGTAGGGTAAGTAGTTAACAGTGACGTATATTTCGAAATACCAAGAAAAGAGGATTTGGAATGTTCACAGAAATGATAAATATTCCAGTGATGGACACTCCAAACACCCTAGCTTGACCATTTCACAGTCTGTGCATGTAACAGAACATCACATGGACCATGGAAATGTGTACAGATATTATGTATCAATAAAAAAGAAAGTAAAGAAAGCTTTGGACTCTTGGGTGCTGGAGAAATGGCCTCCATTTCTCTCTAGCTGATGGTACTATAGTTAGTTCCAAACCCAGCCCACCTTCTTTTCTAAAGCTCCAAGGAAATGAGAAGTTGTTGGGGAAGGGTGGCAGTAAAGAGGAAATGGAATATAAATTTTAAGCCGAGACATTGCCAGCTGGTTCCAGCAGAGCTAGAGGACAGCATCTTTGGGCAGGATCCAGGAAGCAGAAACACTGAGAATATAAAAGGAGCAAAAAGCTTTCTTCCTTTCTCCATCAATTGAAAAAAAGAACAAGTCAGTTCAAAAATCTGTCAGAATGTCTTTCTGGAAGCTCACAATTGTGGGAGGATGAGATGGTCTTGACAGCCATTCTATTTTACCATCTTCCACACTAGAAAAGTGAAATTTGTTTGAGCTTATCCGTGAAAAGTCTTTTCAAAGTTTCATCCAGATGAGTGGTTTTTTTCCCTGAGGCTGTTACCATTTTTTGAAAATTACAACTTGTGTTGGAAGGCTTTGTCCAAGTACCAACTGAGTGCTCGGTATGGAATTCACCCTAAAAATCTAATGTCTGTGCAAGTGAGGTTAGCAATAGCCAGAACAGGGATTTTGCAGGGGTGAGGCTTCTCTGTAGGAATCCCAGAAACTCTATCAGGACAATTGACACCCTTGACTTCATGCTCTCCTATTTTAAGCTGAAAGACTTGCATTTTTTATCACTAAAAAGATCTGAGTGTGGCGCCATCCAGTAGGTTCACTAGGGGAGTCATGTGGCGTGGAGCTTTCAGTAGGAACCAGTGTTCCCTGCCTGGCATGGAGGGTGTACGTAACTGATAGGTGCAGAAAGGGACGGAGTTCTCGTCTCTTCTCCATTCTTCTTTTCCTCCCTTGTCTCCAATTCTGCCTTCAAACCACCCTTTCCTTCTGCCCTTTTATCCTCCCTGGCTTTGTCATTTATGTTTCTCCTGAATGGGTATCTGGAGGAATAAACATGGGTGCATTGTCAGAGAGGAGGTGGGGCTCTGAATGGCAGTGGAGAAGCAAAGCCAACCTGGTGTTTACTGTTTACTGTTGTGTTTGTGTTTACTGTTTACTGTTTAGTGTTTGTGTTTACTGTTGAGAACAATGGACGGAGGGGCACTTTCAGGCACCGCAAAGGTGCCTGGCTTAATGGGAGTCACTGTCTGCCTTCCCCTCACCCCTCCCTTCCATTTGATTGTAAGACGCCAGCCTCTCCAAAAGTGTTTCCTTTCCATCTGCTCCTCATGCCCTGCATAGCAGCTGTGGCTATAGAGAGACCACGGCAGGCTGGGGGCACACAGCAGGGCTTGAGAGTAACAGCATCCAGGAGAACACTGCCTTCACCACATCTACCCGTCTCTTCCAGATTGCTAGGCATCCTCTCCTCCATCCCCATCACCACACAGTGTGGGCTGGCCCTGTGGAGCAGTTAAAGGGCTCTAAACCTCGGTGAGCTGGTGCAAGAGATGGGAGTCGGAACCACCGCATGCCCCTGTGTCCCTGAGTCACAAATGGGGTCCATCTGCCTGTGAGGCAGAGCTCTGCACCTGTGGCCACATATCCTCGAGCAGTTTGCTTTGCTGACCTGGGCCTGTGTCTTTTTAACTCATACTTTAGACTCTCGGGTCTTTTCTCTGCAGTGGCCACCATGTAATCCTAGGAATGACTATGTTCTGATGAGAGGTTCATCATGATGACAGTGGCTGATGGTCATAGAGCATTTTCACGGTTCCCGGGACATGTTTTCATGCCTTATTACATTTTATACTCACAGTTGCCTCACCGAGTTATCTTTATTTTCCCCATTTCACAGATGAACAGACTAAGGCTTTAAGAGTGTCACTGCATAGCCAGCGAGCAGCTCAGCCAGGTCTGACACCCAGCTCGGACTCCAGTGTTCAAGCGTAACTCTGCAGCTCTGCCCACCCATGTTAGCAAGGGAGCCACAGGGCACAGAAACTCTCGGGAAAGGAATTTGTTTTTGCTGGGACTTTCTCAGGCCACTGCCTTGCCCCTCTGGAATCCTTCAGGGCTATTAGTGGGGGTTTAGAGCCTGGAGTTCTGGACCAGGTTGGCAGGTGAGCCTGCCCCTGGGCCCAGGGTCCTGTTCTGGCCTGCAAGGTTCCTGTTGGTACCCGCACAAGCCAGACACGGGGCTGCATGCACCGTGGAGGAACACTCAGAGGAGGCAGTTGCTCTTGAGGATCCAGCAGTCAGATTGTTCTAATCAGATCAGATCAAGGAGAAAGACAGAATGATTTGTGTATAAATTCCCTGCCGCCAGTAGCTTCAGTGCCCTGCATGGCTAGGATGAGGCTGGAGAAAATAATGTATATGATGATGACCAGGGTGCCTCAAATGCCCTCCTTCCTTCTGCATTTCACTGATATCTCCTGCAGGGTTCTACAGCCCCAGCCTACCACTTTCCTTCCATAGTTAGAACCTTCCCCACACCTCTGATCAAAAGAAAACTGGGGCTGTTGTATTAACAGATGACTTTGCTTTTAATTGGTAGAGCCAGGAGCTGTGGGACATCTGAGTTTCACGGAGATTCTGGACACATCTCTCAAGGTCAGCTGGCAAGAGCCCCTGGAGAAAAATGGCATCATTACAGGCAAGTAGCCCTGCCTTCCAAACAGGAAAAAGATGTTTGTCCTCACAAAAAGAGGTGGATATAGTGTCAAACCAAACTGCTGACAGCAGGGGCCCATGCCCACGGCCTTCCCGAGAGTGACTGAAATGTCTTCCTGGACATGTGGCAGAGTCCCACTTTGTCCAGGACCCTGTCACTGTGTAGGCAGCAGCTAGAGTTTGAGATCTATTCTCCTTGCGTGATTTTGCCAGGCCTCCAAAGTCTCTGACCAATGAGAGTCAGTCATGTTATGACATGTGTGTTCACATGTATACGTCTCACTTAATTCTCATAGCAGCATGGTAAGATCAATATTAATATTATGGCCATATTACAGATGAGGAAACTGAGGCCCTGAGAGGTTAGGTGACCTTTTCTTCATTCAGCCGATGGCACTGAGAGCTCCTGTGCACAGCCAGCCTTCTCAGACACAACCATGAGGCTCCTATGCCCATGTTTCAGCCTGCATCCCACAGCTGTGAGCTGCAAAGCCAAGATGAGATCTGGGTCTTCTGATAGCAGATCCCATTTTGGGTCCCCTCCCCAGCCTGCCCTCCAGTGAGAGCCCTGAGGAGACCATGAAGCAAGTACCTCGGAGGAAGTTTTCAGCTGTGCGTGGGGCGGGGACTGAGCCTTAGAGGCCCCTGGGTGGTGAAATCTCCTCTCCTGGTTTACGGGGTCTCTGTGGGAGACAGCTCACCATTTTGGGGGTTTTTAATGATTTTATTTATTTATGTATTTATTTATTTTTTGAGACTGAGTCTCACTCTGTTACCCAGTCTGGAGTGTAGTGGCGCAATCTTGGCTCACTACAACCTCCGCCTCCCGCCAAGCGATTCTCCTGCCTCAGCCTCCCAAGTAGCTGGGACTACAGGTGTGTGCCACCAGACCCGGCTGACATTTTGCATTTTTAGTAGAGACAGGGTTTCACCATGTTGGTCGGGCTGGTCTTGAACTTCTGACCTAAAGTAATCCTCCACCTCGGCCTCCCAAAGCACTGTGATTATAGACATGAGCCACTGTGCTCGGTCTCACCTTAACTTTAAAAAAAGTAAATTTACGAATCTGGCTCTACCTTTCAGAAGCTTGTCTTTTGAAATGCCTACTTTAAACAGTGTGAAAACTCCAGGAATGGGAAAAGTTACTACCAGAATTGGACACGATACCCTGGGCCTGTCGTCTAAGTAAATAGTCACAAGTGCTGAGTTAAAAGGGCTGCTGTTGCCTGAAGTCAAGGAGTTAAGCAAAGGCAGGGTGCCATGAGCTGGGGAGGCCGCTCTAGACGGCAGGAACCTTGTTTAGTTTAATCTTGTCTTAAAGCATTCAAAGGAAGGAAAAACAAACGAACTAGTGGGAGGCGGGATATTTAAAAGCTGAGCTGGAGGCTACCATCTGGAAGAAAAAGACTTTCCAGTTCAGACCCTTCAGGGACCAATTCAGAGACTGGAATTAGAGCTCTGCTCACCACTGACCCCAGAAACGGGGCTAGCTGGGTGGGATAGAAAGAATTCACCTCTGCCCAGTCACCTTTCAGGTCCACTCTCGGCCGTGCTCTGGAAATCTGGCAGAGACTCCTTGGTAGACAGTCTCTACACAGAAGGAATTCCCTTTTTACAGATACACACATTGGCCTCTGCCCTGCCTTTTGTGAACACAGCACACACCTCATTCCTGTTCTAAAGCTGAAGGAAAAAAATCCATGGGCATAATAATTCGCATTGAGCCAACATTTCACGGCTAAGCAGTGGCTGCCAATACTTCCAATTTATGATCGTCTGTTTCACCAGCTAATGGGGCTTCATGAACTCATTTTCGTATTTTATTTAAGTAAATACCTGTAGTTGCAAGCAGCAGTCTATTGTTTATGGTGGAACTTGACTTTGAAGCTTGAGCTTTCCCGGGCTGGTTGTAGGCAGAGGCTTGGTTAGGAGATGCCTGTGCCGTGGCAGGCAGCAAAGTTCCAGTGGGAGCACCAGGCAGACTCCCTGCAGTTTCCTCTCGGTGGCCACATTGTCCCCTTCTCCCTTTGTGTGGCTGTGTGTTCTCCATTCCTGCTCACACGGTCATGTGCACCTTGTATCACCAGAAGCTGCAGTGGACGCCTGCAGCTCTTTGGAAGAGAAGGTCCTAGAGGAGGTGAGATGAGATGTTGTTACCTCACCAACCCAACGTCACCCTGTCACCCCCAGTGATGCCCAAATCAGGGAAGTTCCCCCCAGCACCCACCAAGTAGACATAGATTTCCAGTGGAATGTGCTGGCAGCACCATGAAATTCTATTCTGTGCTAAATGCAGAGTGTTTCATTAAGGACAGCAAAAAAAAAAAAAAAAAAAAACCACCTTCATGGACAAACCTGGCCAACAAAAGCTAGTTTCTGGAAGGGTTGGTGCAGCGCTGCCATCCTCTTGAAGGCTTGCTGCAAAGGCTGCACCTGCTATTAAAGGCGGCTGCAGGAGCCCAGGAGCGCTGACGACTTGGGCCTGGGCTTGGTGCTGCTTTACGGGCTAGAGGTGCTGTTGGAAACAGTAGTTTATTAGCCCTGGTTGGTGCTGAGCAACCCCCAGCCTTTATTTTAATTCGAGGCCTGGAATGAGAGGGAAGTGTGGAGCAGGGGGCAGCTGCGCCCACCCAAATAAATTGCCCATCGCTCGCTCATTGTAAATTTCAGCGTCCTCTACTCTCCCTCCGTAAACTCAGATTTATGAGGGCCAGGATGCAGACAGACAGTTTGTGATTGGATGCACTGCTCTCTTGTAGAGAATTTACTTCAGATCAACAGAAAATTATTTCTGAAGCTCCTCTGGCCATTAGTCTCAGTTAGCAGCCAGTGGGAGCAGTTAGGACACCAAGCAGGAGGTACCCCTGCTCCGGATTCCGGCTGTCTCTTTCCTCTCTCCTCTGGGAGCTGGAAGCAGAAAATGCATCCCCTGGCCAGTACTGCCCAAGCCCTCCACACACGTCCAAGCTGTTGTTCGTAAATTCGAGGATATCTTTCCCACCTCATGCCCACCACTCCGTCCATCTGTGCTCACAGGCATCACATGTCCCGAGCCTGTGCCGTCTCTCCTGGCGTTTTTCTGCAGATCGGCCTCTAACTGTCCATTTGGTTTTTGTTGGTATCCATAACCATTTGAGCACACCATGTTATCAATGTTGATCCTAATAAATCCTAGCAACACTGCCCTTCCTGACAACACTGGAATTGCCAGGTTTTAGCTCTGGGTTGACATGATGAACATGATGCTGTGTTTTAGTAAATTCTGATGAAGAACAGCTTTTAAACCAAGAAAATTTTCTGGCAGACAAGGTTGTAACATTGAGCAAAGGCTCCTCTTCCCATAGGTTCAGAGTAGACCCTGAGGATCAAATTATTTAGTGATTGACCAGGTATGACCCACCAAGGTTAGGGATGCCTTTTGGTTCCCTCACACACCTCAGGAGGAAGTGCTAGAGGAAAAAGCTCTTCAAGAGGCAGGGTCTCATCCACTGTGAGAAACAAACTCAGGCCCGGCACAGTGGCTCACACCTGTAATCCCAGCACTTCGGGAGGCCAAGGCGGGCAGATCACCTGAGGTTGGGAGTTTAAAACCAGCCTGACCAACATGGAAAAACCCCATCTCTACTAAAAAAAAAAAACAAAATTAGCCAGGCATGGTGGCACACACCTGTAATCCCAGCTACTCAGGAGGCTGAGGCAGAATTGCTTGAACCTGGGAGGTGGAGGTTGCCCAGAGCCGAGATCACACTGTTGCACTCCGGCCTGGGCAAAAAGAGCAAAACTTCATCTCAAAAGAAAAAAAGAAACAAACCTGTCCAAACCCAAAGGATGGACTTAGATACCCAGAAAATAGCAAAAGTGAGACTTTTAGTGACAATCTTGCAAAATTGGGCATTTGATGGGCAGGCACACCCAGCACGGTCACAGCAAGCAGTTTATCTACATGTGCTCAGGCTCCTGCCCCTTTCCTCATAGGCTGGGTACTGTGGGGCCACAGTCTTCCCAGATGTTGACTATTGGTTGTTGGGTATGGGCTTTAGGTTTTTTGGGGGTTGTCTTGCTGCATTTTGTTGCCACACACAATGCATTGCAATCCTAGTCCACTCAGGGGCTCTTCAAGTATTTGCCTTATGACCTAAGTGGCTGGGCAGGCTGATAAGAACAGAGAAAATGAGCTATTCGGCAGGATAGTAAACTTTCATCTTAGACTAAACTTCTTTGGTTCAGGTGGGGGCAGCTAAGGTGGGGGGAGGCTGACAAGCAGGCATTGACGATCCAAGCAAGTGCCTAGTACATCCTGTTTCTTCTGTAGTTTGCTGACCTAAGCGACTCAAGGTGATTTGTCTTGGAAATGGACCACTGTATTATTTCCTTGATCCACTGAGGACTGTCTGGGGTTCCAGCAAGTCCACGAAGCTTTCTCTGGCTTGGTTCCTTCCTTTGTGAAACAGGATAACAATGGTTCTAATTTCAAAGGTGTGTTGTGAACGTTACAGGAATGAATGGGGCAGGCTAGAAGTCTTCAATGTCAGGGTGGGCAGATGAGGGAAATGCTAAGATCTAAAGCTACAGCAGGGCCGGGTGGGAGCAGTGGCTGATGCTTGTGATCTCAACATTTTGGGAAGCCACGTGGGAGGATCTCTTGATGCCAGGAGTTTGAGACCAGCCTGGGGAACATAGTGAGACCCCATCTCTAAAAAAAATTTTTAAACTTGGCCAGGCATGGTGGCAGGTGCCTATAGTACTAGCTACTTGAGAGGCTGAGGTGGGAGGATGGCTTGAGTTGAGGGGTTTGAGGCTGCAGTGATCTGTGATTGCCCCACTGCACTCCAGCCTGGGCAATGGAGCAGGACTTTCTCTCTCTCGGAAACGGAAGGGTGGTCTATCAGTCATTTTGTGAAGGAAAAAGTAGAAGTGTTTCCATGAATTAGTTGCAACCCAAGACCAAGCCATTGATTTAAAATACTGTATAATGAAAATATATATATATATATATATATATATATATATATTTTTTTTTTTTTTTTTAATAAAGTTAGGAAGGAAGTGGGGAGAAGGCGATGATGAGTGGTCAGCCTGGATAGCCTTCTCCCCTCTCCCTGTGAGGGGGAAAAGGAGACCAGGGCTTGAGAAGCAGCCAGGCGCCTTGGATAAAGCTACCATGGAGGATGGTTTAGTGACCCGCCTGGACCCGGGCAGAGACCCTGAAGGCAGGCGGGGAGCACCAGTCGGTGATGGCTTATGGGATGGCAGCGCTCCTAGTTCTCTGGAGACACCCATCGTCCAGGCTGCCCCTCCGTGGCCCTTGTTCCTTGGAGCTCCACCCACATCAGCCCGCATGGGAGTCCCTGCTGCCCGTGCACAGAAGCTGCAGGGCTGTATAGGGTCTGTGAGACGACCATGGGGAGCTGTTTACAACATTAACTTTTTTTTCAAAATAGTAAAGTCTCCAGATGCTGTCCACTAAATCCTTGTTTACCTGCAAGTGCAACTCCTAGCTTTATTTATTGCTTTCATCAGAATGAGGGGGAAGTTGCAGGTGCATCCTAGTACTTCTATATCCCTGAGGTTATTGACTAAAAATAGGGAAAAGCAAGCATTTTCAGCTGTTTTCTTTTGCCTGTGGACCCATGAGTTCTTTCTATCACTGTCTGCCTCTTTAAAAGACACTTTTAAGTGTTCCCTAATCACATAAACTCCCCTCCACAGGGGTTGATTGATTCAGGAGCTAGTTGGGTCTTTTCTCTCTCTTTTTTTTTCTTTTTTGAGACAAAGTATTTTTCTGTTGCTCAGGCTGGAGTGCAGTGGCATGATCTTGGCTCACTGCAATCTCCACTCCTGGGTTCAAGTGATTTTCGTTCCTCAGCCTCCCGAGTAGCTGGGATTACAGACGTCCGCAACTATGCCTGGCTAATTTTTGTATTTTAGTAGAGATGGGGTTTCACCTTGTTGGCCAGGCTGGTCTCAAACTCCTGACCTCAGGTGATCCACCCGCCTCAGCCTCCCAAAGTACTGGGATTACAGGTGTAATGCACCATGCCTGGTGGGTCTTTTTTATCTAAGCCCCAAGTCACAGTGAAATCCCAGGTTGAATAAATTTTGATCATGAGGCTCCACCGGACTAAAGAGAGTATGGGAGAAATCAAATTTATTAGAAAACAGATTTAAAAAGGGGAGAGACAGAACTAGAAGTAAAACTCATACACTCAGGTGGAAAGAAACTTTTCCAGGCAAAGCACTTTGCAAAACGGAAGGGTGGTCTATCAGTCATTTTGTAAAGGAAAGAGTGGAAGTGTTTCCATGAATTAGTTGCAACCCAAGACCAAGCCATTGATTTAAAATACTGTATAATGAAAATATCAGTTTCCAAAAATGAAATGATTAGCTGGGTGCAGTGGCTGTAATCCCAACACTTAAAGAGGCTGAGGCAGGAGGCTCCCTTGAGCCCAGGAGTTCCAGACCAGCCTGGGCAACAGGGGAAGGCCCATCTCCACAAAAAATTAGCCAGCCATGGTGATACATGCCTTTGGTCCCAGCTACTCAGGAAGCTGAGGTGGGAGGATGGCTTGAGCCCAGGAGGTTGAGGCTGCAGTGAGCTATGATTGCACCATTGCACTTCAGCCTGGGCATCAGAGTCAAAAATAAATAAATAGATATGTACATACATATGTACAAAATTTTTAATGGAATTATTGGTTAAATGCATTCATAATTTGACAAGAGAAGGTCTAATTGGGCACAGCGGGCTGGCAGCTGTCACATTTTTCAATCCATGCACCTGGTGCTGAGGTTGCCAGAGCATCCAGTAGGCCCCATCCTTGTGAAGCTCGCCCTGGTAGGGAGGGATGGTCCCCCATGGTGGGACCATCACTCCCATAAGCAGGCTTATGAGATCTCAATGGATGCACGGAGGAAAAAGCCTTGATCTGTGCTTCATTTCAGTAGCACAGTGGCTCTAAAGCACCTTCAGCATACCCAGCTGAGTTCTCCATAGCTCCAAGCCTGCAAAGATGGTGCTGTGGCATCCAGGTCAGCCCAGACCTTCAGGAGACCAATGCTGATCTGGTCCTGTTCCTTTCCAGGCTACCAGATCTCCTGGGAGGTATATGGCAGGAATGATTCTCGTCTCATGCACACCCTGAATAGCACAACACACGAGTACAAGATCCAAGGCCTCTCATCTCTCACCACCTACACCATCGATGTGGCCGCTGTGACTGCCGTGGGCACTGGCCTGGTGACGTCATCCACCATTTCTTCTGGAGTGCCCCCAGGTCAGTAAAATCATGTGCTGTCCTCCTGCTGTTGCCTTTCTCTTGAAAATTCCTGAGGCTAAACATTGATTGGCACTTCTGTGTGGAAGCCACTGAGAGCATTGAAAAGTACTGGCCTCCTGCCAAGATGTTGGAGGATAAATGGACGTTGATTCTATGTCAGCCTCATTCTCCAGAGCTGAAATTCCAACACGCATTCACATCTCTTCTGTCTTCTCCTCTTGGGATTACAGAAGTGAGCCACCACTCCCAGCTATGAAATCAGTATTATTTTAAAATATATTTACAAAATAATGATAAAATGTAGTATTGTAAAGACAGAAGTCTTTGATTTATAGAAGAATTCAGTTTTTTCATTTATTTTAAACAAATAGCCAGTACCCAGAACACACATTGAAAGTGTTTAAAGCCAGTTCCCAATGCATATCTAAAATATGAATACTTTCAAAACAGTAGGGATGATTGTATTAGTCCATTTTCATGCTGCTGATAAAGACATACCCTAGACATAACCATAGGCCATTTACAAAAGAAAGAGGTTTAATGGACTTACAATTCCATATGGGGAGGCCTCACAATCATAGTGGAAGGCAAGGAGGAGTAAGTCATGTCTTACATGATGGCAGCAGGCAAAGAGACAGCTCATGCAGGGTAACTCCCATTTTTAAAACCAATAGATCTCTTGAGACTTTTCCTGCCCTTATGATTTAATTACCTCCCTACAGTTCTTCCCATGACATGTGGGAATTGTGGGAGCTACAATTCAAGGTGAGATTTGAGTGGGGACACAGCCAAATCATATCAACAAAATGGCATGTGGTTTAATTGGTTAAAAATGGGTACATACATGACTGAGGGTAACCCTGGAAGCACATCTGTGTGCAAGTTGCCAGAATTTTCCTGGGATGTCTTAAATATTGTGCATCCAAGGCAGGAAAATGGATTAGCTGACCTCTGGAAGGCTGTACTTCCAGGAACACTATGATCCATACTACATCTGGAGCCACACAGCGGAGTGTTAGAGGGGAAACTGAGGCCTGGCTGCTTTGGCCAAACCCTGATAACCAATGTGCAGGAGCTGCTGGAGTTGCCCTTCCTTCATTGCCAAGGCTGAATGCTTGTAGCTGGAGAGGGGTCCTAAGCTTTGCCCACTCATCCTGAGTAGTAGCTGGAAACAAATCAGATGGCGAGAACTGCTTTGGGGACGCTGTGTTCTGTTTACTGTTCTTGAAGTTTATCGCCATTAATGATTGAAGAACCATTTAAAAATCTAGAGAGCTAAGAAATAGAAAGGAAAGAGTCCACTTGTCCTTTGATTTAAACATTTTTCTATTTCAAATTCATTAAAAACTAGATGTGGAGAGGACCCTTGAGATCCTACAGACCCTGCTGTGCTGATAATGAACTGATCACCAAAATAGTTTCATTGTCCCTGTGCAAGACCTGGTTTCAAACACCCCAAGCAACAGCAAATGAGGGAAGCATTCCTCATAGTACAGTCTGAAAGCTGCACTAGCCTTGCATTTTTCCCCCCATTTTATCCCTTTGTCTGTCTCTAGAGTATTTTGCATTGCACAGTAATATAAAAGCTCTCACTTTGAACTCACAGTGCTACACTTCTGAGTGGGAGATGCTCTTTGGGGAGAGTGTATTGAAGGGTATCTCATCTAGGAGTAGGCTTGAGCCACAGTCACCCTCAATGACAGGCTCATTCAGAACCTACCTTCCACCTTATCCAGTTACCCAAGCAACTGAATACAGGTAGAGTGAGGACATTTCCGCACTTTCGCTGGAATTTGGTCGTCTTGGAAACAAGACCCAAGAAGCATAAGGCTCAAGACCTGATACTGACCAGGTGTCATGCTGCCTGGCTGCAGTCCTAGGCTTGTGCTCTCTTCCCTCCATCCCCCTGAGGCTGCAGTGGTTATGAAAGGAAGCACGGCCATTTGTTCTTTGTATTGTTTCAGGAGCCAGGAAGAATTACATTTATTCATCCCTTCCTCATTCAGAGAGCATCTGTTAATTACCTACAGTGTACAGGGATGCCTAAGACATGGCATGTGCCTTCCAAGTTTCTCATCTACAAGGCCACATTAGCCACGTGTCAGCAAACTCACTGGGTCACCCTATTAAAATAAAAACCATGCATGGATCATGTCCCTGGAGAAGCTGTGCTGCTTCTCACTTTCATGCTTTTGAAAACAAATCTTTTTGGTATAGCATCATTTCAAAACTGTTTACTTCTGAAGCTGATGCATTGGATATCTTTCCTAAGCTGTGGTGGAGTGTAAATCTCTCCTCTTCCACCCTGGTTCCTCTCCAGACCTTCCTGGTGCTCCATCCAACCTGGTCATTTCCAACATCAGCCCTCGCTCTGCCACCCTTCAGTTCCGGCCAGGCTATGATGGGAAAACGTCCATCTCCAGATGGATTGTCGAGGGCCAGGTACGTGTGTCTCAAACCAGGAGCCGGCGTTTCCCAAGAGAGCAGTCTTGGGGCCTGTGTGTGAGTGGTGCCCCTGCAGATGATGTCATGGGGTGTGGAGGAGAGGGGCCTACTTGGAAGGGGAGCATCAGGGTTGAAGATAGCCCAAATATCAGGGCAGAATGTAGGAAGACAAGGAACAAGATGTCAGTCTGGGGTCCTACCAGGTGAATACAACAAGAATAAGAAGGGTTAAAATGAAAGTTGTGATGCAAAATAGGTACCTAAAATTGGATAGCATCGTTGATTGAGTTTTAAAAATTCTATATCACAATTAGCTACTAAATATACTAATAGGATTAATTGCTTGGTACAGCTTGTGTGTCATTAGCTATGCATTCATTCAACAATATTTTTAGAGACGATTGTTCTATCTGCAGGCACTATTCTGGGCATGGGGGCTCTTGCAGTAGACAAAGCTGGCTGAGTTTCTGCTGTCGAGGAGAAAAGTGCTGTCTGGGAAAGAAAGACCTCCAGCTGTGGGAAAGCTGTTATATTTGAGGGGCAGCAGGGAGGCCTGGTGCTACACAGAGGAGAGCAAGCCCTGGCGTGACAGGGAGTGAGTCTGAGGAGAACCGGAGGAGGGTTCTACAGGACCTAAGAGAGTGGGTTCCCCAAGAGACTTCCGGTCTGACTCCAGGTGTGCTAGCAAGCACAGGAGCACATAGGGTCCAGAACAGCACCTGGCTTGAATAGGATCACTCTGGCATGGGGGGCGAAGCCCTGCAATCCACCAGTTCCATGTTCCAATAAAAGCAGGAGGAAAAAGATAAAGGGCCAAATTATAAGGAGTAGTAAAGTTTCAAAATAGTTATTATCTGTAGTAAAATTCGAGTGGTTTTCATGACTGTACTTGTACTATATCGCAAGAAGATCCACTCCTGGAAATTGGCCATAAATTAGGGAAGAAATCCTATCTACCTCTTCAAAAGTTCCACTAAGCAAACATTTCTGAAAACCTAAGGAGGATCCTGAAGGTGCAAGCCATCTGGATGGGTCTGACCCACAGATGGGACTGGAACAATTATTTACTTAGGAAAAAATAGCAGTAGAGCTCTACCTCACATCAGATGAAGAAAATCAGACCCCAGCAAATGAAGACTAAATTAATGAAGGCAAACTTTAAAATGTGTAAGATTAAATATAGGACAAGAATCACAATGTCTCATGAAAACCAATTCTAGTATTAAAATCCATTGGCTGGGTACAGTGGCTCACACCTTTAATCCTAGCACTTTGGGAGACTAAGGCAGGTGGATCACTTGAGGCCAGGAGTTTAAGGCCAGCCTGGCCAACATGGTGAAAACCCATCTCTACTAAAAATACAAAAATTAGCTAGGCATGGTGGTGTACGCCTGCAATCCGAGCTACACAGGACGCTGAGGTAGGAGAATTGCTTGAACCCGGGAGGTAGAGGTGGCAGTTGCAGTGAGCCAAGATTGCGCCACTGCACTCCAGCCTGGGCAACAGAGCGAGTCTCTGTCTCCAAAAAAAAAAAAAAAAATCCATCAGCAGAAGTAGCCAGGCAATACTTTCAGGCCCACAGAAGCACATGCTGTGGTCTTTGGTGTCTGACAATGCCACATAGCTGAGGCCAGGAGGCAGCGCTCTCTGCGAGCTTTAGCATGTGGTGTCACACTAGGCTAGGCAGGCCGCAGTGACAGAAATGCCAGCATCATGGGGCTCAATATACGAGAGCTCATTTGTGCATCCGACAGGCCTGGGAGTGGATGATGTTCCTTTAGCCCACGTTCTGTTGCCCAGAACTTGGTTGCGTGGCTGGGTGTCGCTGCAGGAGAGTCTGGGAGTGTTGTTTCAACTCTCCCAGGAGGGAAAGATAAGGAGTGATGTGGAGACTCTCCACACAGTTTCTTGGCCACAGCATCCTGGCTTTATGTCCTACAACCTATTTGTTTACATTTTTAATATAAAACATCTTAAATATATGTAAAAGGAAGGAGAATAATACAGTAAAGCCCCTTATATCCATCAGCAGAAGTCAGTGATCCTCAAGATTTCACCACATCTGTCCATCTCCAGTTTTTTATTGGCATATTTGGAAGCATATTTCAGACAACATGTCACTTCACCCCCATATACTTCACACGTGTTCACATGCCACTAAAATACGTGTTCACATGCCACTAAAATACCTGTTCACGTGCCAATATGGATGAATTTCACAGGCATAATGTTTAGCAAAAGAAAAACCAGACCCCTACTTGGAGCATATGCTGTGTGATTCCATTTATAGAATGTTCCAAAATAGGAAGAAGTAATCTTTGACGTTGGAATATGGGTTCCCCTGGGAGCCTTGTGGTTACTTACCGTGTGGGTGACAGTGACAGAGGGGTCACCTGAAGAGGGGCATCTGGAATAACAGGAGTGCTGTTTCTTGATCTGTGTCCGGGTTATATGTGTGTGCTTATTTTGTGTATACAGCCAGTGGTCTGTGAGCTTGCCTGGGTGTCTTACTTCAGTGAAAACTTTGGCCAGGTGTGGTGGCTCACACCTGTAATCCAGCACTTTGGGAGGCCGAGGCAGGCAGATCACTTGAGGTTGGGAGTTTGAGGCAAGCCTGGCCAACATGTGAAACCCTGTCTCTACTAAAAATACAAAAATTACCTGGGCATGGTGGTGGGTGCCTGTAATCCCAGCTACTTGGGAGGCCAAGGCAGGAGAATTGCTTGAACCAGGAGGCAGAGGTTGCACTGAGCCAAGATCATGCCACTGTACTCCAGCCTAGAAGACAGAGTGAGACTTCATCTCAAAAAAAAATTTTTTTAAAGAAAAATTTACATGAAAATATCTTCTCTCATGTTGCCATTGTCACACCTGAAAAAATTACTGTTACTATTTCGTTGAGATAGGATCTCACTCTGTCACCCAGGCGGGAATGAAGTGGTACGATCTCAGCTCACTACAACCTCTGCCTCCCAGGCTCAAGCAGTCCTTCCCATCAGCCTCCTGAGTAGCTGGGACCACAGGCCTGTGCTACCATGCCAGCTAACTTTTTATATTTTTGGTAGAGACAGGGTTTTGCCATGTTGCCCAGGCTGGTCTCAAACTCTTGACTTCAGGCAATCTGTCAGCCTCAGCCATCCAAAGTGCTGGGATTACAGGTATGAGCCACCGTGCCTTGCAATTTGAACATTTTAATATCATCTCATAATCAGTTCACACTCATATTTCCCCAAAGTCTCCAAAACACGTCTTTACTGTGGTTTTGATAAAAGTAGGATTCAAACAAGATTTACTGTTTTACTGTCATATCTCTCAACTTGTAAAAAAAAAAAAAAAAAGTAAACAGCTTTATTAAGTTGTAATTGACATACAGTAAACTGCATATATTTAAGGTCGACCGTTTCACAACTTTTGACTCAGCTACATGTATACACACACCTGGGAAGCTGTGACCACAGTCGAGATAATGAATATGTTCCTCACCCTGAAAGGTGTTCTTGCAGCCATCGGTATCCCTCCCTACTAAGCCTCCTCATCCCCACAACCACTCATCTGCTTCCAGTCACTGTAAGTTACATTTCTTAATCTAGAGGAATACCCCATCCTTTCTCCCCAGTGCAGTTACCTCACTGAGAAAACCCAGCCAGTCATCCCATGGGACATCTGCATTGGAGATGCACCTGGTAACATCCTTGTAGGGTTACTTGACCTGTTCTCTACCTGCCATTTTCCCTGTAAATGGGAAGTTCATTGCAAAGGCCTGGTAGATTCCATTTCCACTCTTCCCTCCCTTCTTTCCTTCCTCCCTCCCTCCCTTCCTTCTTTCCTTCCTCCCTTCCTCCTTTCCTTCCTCCCTTCCACCCTCCCTTCCTTCTTTCCCCCCTCCCTTCCTTCTTTCCTTCCTCCCTCCCTTCCTTCTTTCCCCCCTCCCTTCCTTCTTTCCTTCCTCCCTCCCTTCCTTCTTTCCTTCCTCCCTTCCTCACTCCCTCTTGTCTTTCCTTCCTCCCTCACTCTCTCCCTCTCATCCTTCCTTCTTCTCTCTTTCCCACCTTCCCTTCTTTCCTTCCTCCCTCCCTCCCTCCCTTCTTTCTTCCCTCCCTCCCTCTTTCCCTCCCTCCCTAAGACTGCTTCCCAGTTACTGCAGTAAATTGGAGGCACATAGGTCTAGTTGCCCCACTCAGGGATGCTAACTTGGGCGGCAGAGTGTAGCAGACTGATCCCTACCTTGTGAATTTCTCCATCAGCTTTTTATCTAATGGTCTCATCCATCCATGATCTTTGCCTGAATTAATTATGTTCTTAGGACATTCGAGATGATAGTTTTCTACTTCTATCAATCTTTCTTCATTTAGCTGTTGGAACTCTGAAAAGAAGCATCTCCCCTCATTCCTCAGACTATTTAGTGATCCTCAAATACAGGAAGGCAGAATAAACCCTTAATTACCAATTTTAAGGATGAGGAATTGGTCCCCTGGTTACTTCCAATGTTAAATGGATTGTTCTTTCTTTTTTTGTCCTGTGATCTCTTTTGCTGAGTATCATTATGAAAGCATTGGTTCTTACATGTTCAGTAGGTTTCAGCCACCTGTAGTCATCATTCTTTTTGAACCTAGAATTGGCCTCGCTTTGGCCTAGGGAGACTTTCGTATCCTGGGGCTCTGGCATGAGTCTGCACTCTTTGAAGACTTCTCGCCTCAAGCTGAGATGGAGCCGCGCCTAGGTGGCCTTGGTTTCATGAGTGTCAAATGCTATTTAAAGACGATAACCTGAGCACCAAGGTGGGTGCTCATGGCTCCCAACTGATTGCTGCTTCTACACCTCCCGAGTAGACAGAACAATCTTTTGAAGCATCATGAGTTCATACTGACATTTCCAATTGAAATATAAGATTACAGACCTTAGATGTATATTTTAAATATATTTTCCCTTACACTAAAACTGTGCTTTTTAGGACTCCTAAATGATTATTTTCTTTATCCTACTATTATATTAAGAGT